AGTCTTTGGTTTCCGGTATATTTGCTTGATACTTTTGTAATTTTTATTCAAATTCCATTTTATCACAGTTATTTTCAGAAACTACAGCATGTTTACAGCTTTCAGCGATTGTTACAATTCTATGAAAGAGTTCAAACAATCAACTAACTAAAATCAAAGTTTAATGACAAATTAAATATAAACTTTGAATTTCTAAAATTATCAGCCACCAACATTCACTTACATGAGACTAGTACGTGTTAACGTCACCTTTGTGCTTTCTATCTGTACCATAAATTCTCTTGACCATTAGTCTTCTACGGCCATTATTTTTCCAACCCATTGCTAATTTGTTTAAATATTTAATGAGCACTATGTCTTGGCAATACATAGATGTTTTGGTTTTGTTTTTATTTTGTGGGCTGTTCATGAGAGCACAGGTCACTTGATGTTTTTTGTGTCTTTGCCTCCTGTTGGCAACGCCAATTCATTGTTTCTTTGAAATTCTAAAATTTGTTCTTTTAACATTTTTATTTTTATCTTTTGATGTCCTGGTTGTTGTTTTTATCCTGTTGCCACATCAACAATTGAGAACTGTGATTGAAAAGGGGTAATGAGTGGAGATGACGATGCCGGCTGCTGGTTACTGGTTACTGGCAGGAAGGCAAACTAAAAAATGTGCAGTAAGTGAGATTTTTAATTCAATACTGCTGCCTTGAATTCAACTCATCCAACTGTAATTCAACAGAGTGTCTAAAGTCTTACCAGCCATTAATTATTTATGTTAATTTCTTTTGATGCTCATAAAAGTGGATTTTGTTATGCGAAGGCATACTGTGTGTTTTATCCAGATATGGTAGGAAAATATTATGGGTAATCGAGTTAATGTTATATGTAGCGAACAATTCAAAGTAATCGGTAATTGAAAACATATAAAAACATATGCTTTCTAAAGAACTGCATTTAAAGTAACATTAACCTCAAAAACACTATGAAATATACCAAGGAATTAATTTTTTCTAACCAGAATTTTATATCTACACTTTTTTGTAGACCTAGAGTTAAAACCACGAATGAATTTTATCATCTCTAAACCTTCAACCATTTATTTTCAATGGCCGTTAGAGAATTTCTTTTTTCGTTATTGTCTTTCCTTCTGCTGTATGAAATATTTATCTTTCTTTTTTTGGTTTGTAATAATTTTATCTTCGTAATTTTGCTCCTTTTGCAATGAAATGAAACAATTATAAGAGGAGTGCAAACAAAACGTGACCGCATGGGTAAATGTTGGCTGATTATACTAGAGACCTATAAGTACGAATCCTGTTTTTTCATTATTTTATATTTAATATTAATTTAAAAAAAAATAAAACAGACAACAACATTACCAAATTAAAAGAAATAAAATGTAAAAGAGTTTTTCTTTTTGTTTTCTTAAAAACTCCAATCCACATACAAAGTAATAATGTGCTCATGTTTATGGTGTTGATTTAATGAAATCACTGAACAAATCGGAGAATTCTTTATAAAATGTTTTACACATGAACAACTGGAATTTTAAAAACAAAAAGCGTTGAAATGAATTTTTAAGAAAAGAAAAACATTTCATAAGAATATAATGTAATGAAAATTAAACATGATTATAGAAGCTGAATTCTTAAATTGCAATTTGCTTAAGTGTCTGTGTAAAATGTTCACATAATAATTAAAATTAATCTTTAAAGTAGACTTAATGTTTGTATTTATTTTATATATTAAATAAAATTTTATTAAAAGATAAATTAGAAAAAATGGTCGACATGGAAAACCCTATAATGTTAGATTTCATATAATTAACAAAGATCAGCATGCATTAGAAGAACAGGTGCTCTAAAACTAACACTTTAGAAGCACGGAATACTATATGGCACCTTATTTTAATCGATCTTCATTCTCGAAATCAAGTACATATGGACAAGCTAGGGTTTTAAGTCTACTATGCTCGGAACATGAACGATTATAGTGGAATGTAATGAAAAGTATGATAACGGAAAGTTCTAGCCAGAAAATTGAATACAAACGACATAAGCACAAAATTTGGATTACGGATGAGAATTGGCAGCTGATCAACGAGAGAGGTAGACTAAACGCACTTACGGATTTTCTATTCGTCTATGGACCACATGGTTAAACATAGTGCCTGACGGGATAAAAGATTATGGATGGAAAACATGGCCTCAAATGCTGAAGCTGTGGCAAATACGAATAGCTTATCCACTGAAGTATCCCATGGGCTGAAGAATGGTAAAGCACCAGGCGTAGACTACATCAAACCGACATTGCTTAAAGCCGATTCCCGTCTTAGTAATAAGACCCATTAATAAAAACTTCTGGACCTCAAATACACTTCCGCCTGATCTTAATATTTGGATAATAATAAAGGTACCAAAAAAGGGTGGCCTGACAGAATTTCGAAATTGGAGGGGTATAACCTTTCTACAAATGATTAACAAGGTACTGGCAAATATCATTCATGACAGATTATCCAACTCGTTGTCTTTCCAAATTCGATTTGAACAGGCTGATTTTACAATAACCTTCGAATTATTGTCGAACAATCGGTGGAATAGCGATCCCTTCTATATTGCATATTTATAGACGTTGCCAAGACATTCGATTCCATCCACCAACAGCATAGTTGGCAATCGCTTCCGTGCCAAGGAGTTCCACTTGAATTTATTGATCTGATCCGTGTTTTATATCGTGATTCTACATGTATGGTGATACATAAGAGCAATCTAAGAAGATCCTTTAGAGTTAACTCTGGTGTTCGACAAGGGTGCGTTCTATGTCCATTATTACTCAATATAGTACTTCACGTTATAATGCAAAGGGCAACTTAGAAAGAGCATCACTTGGGGCCTAACTGCGCGTCTCGAAAATCTAGACTATGCCGATGACATATCTCTTCACACAAACAACGATATGTCAGCCAAACTAGAACAAATACACACTATTGCAGAGAATGCTGATTAACATGTGAATATAGCGAAAACCAACGTTCTGCGTCTGAATACCACCAACTTTCGGAAATTTCAAATTAACAACGTTAATCTTGAAGATGACCAATCTTTTATACATCTGCGTAGTGTTAAAAAAGGCAATCCAAGCATTTGGAGCATTACAAAGATTTTGGAAATCACCCCAAATAATCTAAGAACTAAACTCAGCCTCTTTTCATTCAACGTTCGTTCTGATCTGCAGTTTGGATGCGAATCTTGGAACATCACATCAAGCGACCTGGAATCCATACAGGTATTCTTTAATCGCTCGTTGCGCAAACTGCTTGTGATATTTTGGCCCCATATTATCTCAAACCGAGATCTGTGGCAAAGAACTGGTGAAACACCAATAAGTATGCAAATTCTTAATCGTAAATGGTATTGGATTGGCCATGTTCTCAGACGAAACGACGACAACGTAGCCAAGATGGCAATAGCATGGAACCCTCATGAGGCCTCAGGGAAACACCTGGCGAAGACAAATCGAAACGGAGGCGAATTCGACTGGAAAGCCCTGGGCAGAAGTGAAGCTGATAGCACAGAATAGAAAAGAATGGAACAGAATGGAAAAATTTTGTTATCAGAGTTCCTTTCAGTAATGAATGGAATACTGATGGTTTTAAAGTGAAGTATGCTATTCATAACCGATTTTTAAGCAGCCATTAGCAAGAAAATCTTCAATAGTGGTTATACAGTAATTATTTTATTCTAGAAATTTGAAAAAAAAGTAGAATCATTACATAAACACTTTATGTTGTTATTAAACGACTTTTTAGATAATTACAATTTATATACATATTAAAAATTACCATCGATTTAATTAAAATTTCTATAATTATTCTATAATTGAAACACTCTCGTTTTTTCCATTAACAAAAATTTTCTTAAAGCAATTAAGTGGCTTTAAAATTAAAAAAAAAAATAATAAAATACCAACCTTTAAAACTGTCAACAAAATAAACAAGAACTAAATTAGTCTCCAATCAAATAATGATGTTGTCGTCTGGTCTCAATTACAGCATTACAATTACAACAAACAAAAATAACAACAACAGGCCTAAATCATTAGAATAGGTAGGCTTTTTGACTATACAAGCTGCTACTATGTAGTACGTACATACTACTTAACACTCATAGTACTACAGCAACAACTACAACTTTAGCAAGAAGCTGACATGATACCTGACAAAGACTAAATTTGTAAAGGTAAGCAGTAAGAGTCATAGTAATACTACTACAAGTAGTAGAGTATGTAAGGTAAGTGACTTTATTTAACACTTGTTCAAAAAAAGTCTACAACAAAAAACATTCTAAATAATCAAAAAATATATATTGTAAATACAACAGCAAACCATGTAACAACAGACACTTTAGACAAATACAAACGTACCGAATTGAATACAATACCCAGTAAACATTTCAATTTGGTTTATTGGAAAAATGTCATAATTATGTTAGGAATAGTAAATTAATAGGAAATTTCCAGAATCTCTTGTCTAATGAGTTTCAATTGGTTTTAAAGTTAGGAATGCTTATTCAAGACAACACTTTTAACTTATTCGTAAAGGTTTGGCAGACATCATGTGATACGAAGTCTCATTTAAAGCATGCTATTCCAGCTTTCTCGAATGTTCCTTATCAAAATATAGATGCTAAAATTAGCTCACAAAATGAATCATACTTTTATTAACAGCTGAGGTCTTCAATAAATGTCTATTATAACTCTCAAGCTCATTGCAAATGTCCGCTGGTTGTTAAAAATTGTGTTAAACATGATCTGGCCTGTAAACAAGTTTGTAACACACACTGTTGTTGTAATCATTGTATACTAAACATGGTTTAAATGTAAAACGATGTACTACATATTTTAGTCCAAATAACACAAAAGGTCTACACAATTTTAGGCCTCCATAATAACACAACACAATATTTAGAATTTTTCGCAAATTGCTGGGAAATAAACAAAACAAAATTGAAGCATTTTACGCAAAATATAATTTTCATTTAAATTTCATATTTTATTATTTAAAAAATTTTAAACAATTAACAATCAATAAGTTTATCTTAAAGCGTAGGTACATTTGTTAATGTTGATGTTGTATTTGAAATTTTGTGGACATTCACCGTGAATGGGACGTTCGGCAAGACACAAGTTAGTGGACTTATCCAATTTGGAGTTGCCAGGACAGCTTTGGCCCGATACGAGAGCGAACAAAGCGAAGATGACGGCAAAGAACCAGGTGAATTGCATGATGATTGACTAAAGTAAATTATTAAAAATTTCAATTAATTTAAATTATTTTCTTTTTAATTATTCACTTTTTTCACACTTACTTTTCTGTTTGAAATTTAAAGATCAACTAAATTGTATTTAATTTAAAATGAAATACTTATATGTGTAAAAGATTAAATAAAACATCTTTGGAAAGTACAAAAAATATACAAAAATAAAATAATAAAAATGCTTCCAATGAATTTAGAACTTATCAGTTTTAAATACACTTCACTGACCTTTTTGTCAATCAACAGTTGATAGACAAATCGTCAATGGTGATGAGTCTTAGATGAAATTGGTGAAGAGCAAAAATAGAGTAACAAGAGCATTTAAATTGAAAAATTAATCCGAACGATAAAACAAATACTTTATCGCGAATATTTTTTTTCTCGTGAAAAACTCTTAACCGTTTATTCACAGAATTTTAAATATTTTATAAACAAAAATAATTTAAACAAATTAAACAAAAAATAAAGAAAAACCTTTTTTGATATTTTTTTAATTTTAAAAAAAGTTTTAAATTATTTGGACCTGTTTGGAAATTATTTGGACCTCTTTGAAAATTAAGAAGATTCCTGAACTACACATTGTAAAGTAGTTAATCAACTTTTCCATAAACAAATCTATTGTCTTTTCAATGAACTTACCTACTGAAGCAAAGACGTAACTCTAGAATTTTCAATAAGTAGCCTGGAAAATAATGTACTCTTTCTCTTCCCCAATAGTTAATTAATCAATTATGTGCAAGTGCCTACACTTGTACAGATTTATTTAACTGACGACAATTTTTCATAAACAAAATAAACTGAAATTTAAAATTATTGGGAAGTTTTAATAACAATCGAAATTTTTCAAATGAAATTTTAATCACTGCATTTTTTATGAATTCTGTTCTTATCAACTAAAAACTTATTTTTAAATCATGGAAAACAAAACGAATTCTATTGAAATTCAAAATTAGTTCTAAACATTTCTAATGGAAATAGTGGGTTAATTGATAATTTTTTGGAATGGACAAATGAAAAGTAAAAAAGTACAAAAAAGCAGCATCATCAAAACATTCTTAATTTATGATTTATTTATTTAAAATGTGGAAGTGTTTTTTTTTACTTACGAGTACAATATTTATAAATAGCTAAAAAAGAACCTCGAATATATGCACGAGTTTTTTGTGATAAGCTTATTACTATAACATTAACTTTTTTATAGAATTAATCTCATAAATAACCAAACAACATAATATTTATAAAAAACAAAAAAAAAAACGATAAAACTCATATCTACAAAATACATATTCAAACATTTAAGGAAACATGTCGCACCACTAATGAAAAATAGAGCAGCATGACGAAGAAAAAAATTACACCAAAAAAGACAAGAAAACTAAAAAAAAACAAAGTTACGGTCAGTTAAGACGCATAATTATTCACCCTATTTAAAATGTTTATCTCAATATGAAATCTATAATCATTAGAGGAATATCCTCGAGTGGATCTTTAAAGGGATCTGTGATCAATCAAGAAGCGACATAAAGAATAATAGACAAAATTAATGCCAAAATATATTTTTAGTACAGAAACATGCCTTAGTCAGCTATTAATGATATTTGCATTTAATTGGTATATTTTGGCCCGATATTGTTGGGTTTACAAACATCAGCATAAACGTCTAACACCCCAACACTATAATGACGTAGGGTATACAAAAAACTCTAGAACAAAATATCAGTTGTGCATATTAAATTAGTTAATAAATGGTAAAAGCGTATGAAAAGTCACCTTACAAAGCAATAAATTGCATACAATTAGCTACAACAACACAACAACTGCAAGAACATTCACAGCAAGACTACAACATACAACAGCTACAGCAGTTGTGACAACAACATGCAGCAACTGGGTGCTGTTTACAGCAGCAAAACTAACATAGAAATGAATAATTCTCTTGTTGTAGTCATTTCTTTTTTTATTTAATTTTTGTTACAAGTTTATTTTTACAACATGGCCAAGTTTATAGAAAATTTATATTTTTATACAACTTTGTTCTTACTTTTTTTACATAAAAATTACAGGAGTAAAAGTATGCAGAAAATTAAACAGTAACAAGAGTAAAATTAAAAAAAAAAAGAGTTGTATACACCGCAAATGTTATGTAGCAGGAATAAGTTAATATTTTATATTTTATTTAACAAAACTTCTTTAAACTGCAACAAAATCTACTAGTACTAGTACTTGTGTTGGCTGTAATCAGGATGGTTGGTACAAGGGTTGTAATATGCTGGACCATATTTCGTATTTAACGCCCTTGCTGGCTGGCCAAAAGTATGACTAGCAGAAAGAAAAAAAGTTGAAACCCATAATTTTTCAGCTTGTTGCTGTAGTTGTTATTTAAATCATACTCGCACACTGGCTGTCGCATTGGTACATTGTTAGTTTTACTTTAACACCCTCTATAGAAATAATTAAAAAGTTTTAAAAGCTTGCCACACTAGCAGGCAAAATAGTTACTGAGTCTTAAACTTTCTACTTGTCGTCAGGGACTGACGACTAGCAGCAGCCACAACACCCACCTTTGCCTGAAATTCAGGCAAATGTTTGTACTAAATGGTCGTAGGTTGCAAAACTTTCTTGCTTCTCTGTTCGATTTTTTTTTTTTGCAATTTTTTCTTTTCAGCAAACCACATACAACATTGAGATAGATGTACGAAATACAACTCACACCTCAGATAAAGAAAAATAAAATATTATGTATGTTAAAAAAAAAAGAAACAAAAACGTACAAGTAAAAGGACATTAAACCAAAACTAAGAACTAGAAAAAAAGTTTTTTTTTCGTAAAGTTTTTGCAGTACGTTTTTGTCGGTTTTTTTACTGCTTATCTTGTGATAAAAGTTTGCGTGTAGACTCCTTTATAGTGGTATCAATAAATATACCAGAGATGAGCTAGTGACTTTAAAAAAGTAATCCTTTAAAGATGTTAATTAATGAACAATTAACGTTTGTAACACATTGAAATATGCATAAGTATATTGTGGGTCCTTACATGAATCTACGTCGACCTACTCATGTCCGTCCGTCAGTCTACCTGTTTACTTTGCTATAAATTTAACTCAATATATTAAGTGGCAGTAATTTGTTACTCTATTAACGATTCAATTCATTCAATCATTGACTTATCTGATTATTTTGACATCAATTAAACATTTTAATCTATTTAATTAAAAAGTAATCAACATCAATCAAAATCAATGCAACATTTCAATTAAATTTAATAATTAAAATAATTGATTTGGTATTTTCTCATTAATTAATACATTGATAAATTCAATTAAAATTGTATTCAAATCTATCAATAATTGATACAATCATTTTGGTAAAAGAAATAAGTCGCAAAAAGTTTCAAAGAAAAATAATTATATTTAAAGTGATTGAAAATTATATCATTTACTCATCTCTATTATGAAAAACATGCAGTCTTACCATCATAACTATTGTCTATGATAAGAGCTTTCCGGCAAATATCTTAGGGTTTCTTAGGGGAAATGATTTTTAATAAATTTAGGAGTATTTCACTAAGTCAGGTGTATGGGACTAGATACATTTACGGAAATTATAATGATTTAAATAAGTTAAACATATAAAACAAGTTCAAAAGGAAGAAATCTAGTTTAATATTTTCCTATTTATGACAGTTTTAGCTTTATGGCTGATGATGTCTTGCACCTCTATACAATTTAACTACCAATAATTTACAAAATACTAAAGTAAAGATTTAAATATGGAAGACCTCGAACCTCAAGGGAAACGTATCTTGGTCCACAAAAGAGTTCTGAAATGCTTAAAAAATAATTAAAAATAAATAGTAAAAGTTAGAAGTGGTTGTGAGTTTCTCATTAGTAAGGAATTTTTTAAGACATAAGTCCAAAAGAGATTAGAAAAAGGCACTTATATAAGTACACCGTTGTTGAAGAGTATACAAGATTCTCTGCAGCCTGACATACTAAAATTTCTTTCCGTTTACATACTTATCGTTGCTACTGTTACCCATATAACCGCCTGAACTATAGTTAAAATATTTGTCACACTTGCGACACTTATCAGTCACTTCAGCGACGAAGACGACTACGACAAATGCAACATGTTTTACTTACACATTTATTACATTGTCTTCTTTCCCTTTTTTTTGCACTTTTTCATTTTTGTCAAACTTTAATTTTATATTTGAAAATTCCTTTGTATGTGTGTTGAAAAAAAAGGAAGTGTTTCGGCAAATATATACATAAGTGTGTGTGTGAATATACAAAGTGCAATTTTTATTTAAAAACATTATTTTCACCACATTTTTTTCTCCTACTAGTAATTTTTTACTTTTTGTCAAAATGAAAAACTAAAAAATATGAGAAAATAAACGCAGCAAAAGTTTTGCAATATAAAACAAAAACGAACTAAAAGTATGCTACAAATTTTGAAAAATTAAATTAATTAAAATTTAATTATAATTAAAACAATTTTATAGAAAATGGAATACGTTTTTATGATCTTTAATGAAAATAGTTCTTTCCATTACTAAGCCAAGTTTTACATTATTCAAATATTTCATATAAAAAGTATTCTATGATCCTAGATACATTATTTGATTTCAAAAAGCTCAAAGTCGAACTTTGACAATTTTTTTCTTACAGTTAAACTAATAAACATTTGCTTAACATTATTCTATCTAATTACTTTCTAAACATTTTGGTTGTTATCTTGTCATAAAATTTTTTATTTTAAGATTGATTTTGAGTGGAAAAAAATTAAAATTTGCAAACATCAGCTTAAATATGTATATTGTGAAGTTTGTAGGGCATGAAATGAACAACTTTTTTTACTTACTCTGCGAAAAGTAAGTGTTTGGCTATTTTATTTAATGTTCTTCAATGTTCTTTTTTTGCTGTACATCATGTTCATGCAACATATAACAATCTGACACTAACTTGCTGTGCTA